AGTTTCGGTGGTCTTTCTGATGTAGGAGTTCGGAAAACTACCTTTTTCTTAGCCGTGTTTTTTGTGTTTTTTGTCTTTGTTTTTGTCTTGTGCTGCATGTTGCACTGCTTGCCCCTCTGCTGATCAATAAAGTATTTTGAATTGAATTGAAAGATATACATTTATACTGTACATTTGTCTGCATGTGCCTGTGTATAAGCTTGTATATGCTTTCACTTGTGCTGCGAAAGGACAGTAATATCTACCTACCAGTTGAAAGGGAATATTTATAAATTTGTCAGCGTTACACTGAAGCTTTTATAGTTGCGAACAGATAATTTAAATGAACGTTCATATAAAGTTTGACGTGAAAGTTTAGGAGCTCTGTGCAAAGCACAAAGTGGTTTTCCGTTTTTTAAATCACAGGATTGTGTTCTTACCGGTGTCTTTTGCAAATCAGCAATGTTATTTCTCACAAGTGTGCAATTTCTTCTTTACTAGCGAAGGATGCACTGCGCATGCTTCACGTGTGAATCTATTTTTGTGACACAAATAGATGTACATGAGGGTGAAAAGACCAGAACATTTCTGTATACCTTATTTTGTAGTGAAGGGTCTGCATTAGCACCGAGCAATAGCACCACAGTTCTTACATTTCCTCCCATTACAGCTGCATGGAGGGCTGTTGATCCATTCTGGTGATGAAAAAGAAATATAGCAAAACACTACTTGGTTCTGGAGACATGGGCACACACTCAGTTGTGGGTGTTGACATGGGGTAACTTAAAGAATGTTACCCCATGTCAACCCAATAAACACACCCCAGCCTCTTGTACTGTAGTACAAACTATATCAGCAGGAAATACGGAAATTACAAACAAAATAACTATCATTCATATATTTAAAATATTTACAGTGCCTCACATAAGCTTTCAGAACCTTCACAGTTCTCACCTTTTGTTACTTTGACGCTTGCTGTCGTGACTCTTTGAAGTAGCAATTGATATTATATAGACAACCTACCTGATGCATTCAAAGTAAAAAATAAAAAATAATCAGATGATGAGTAAAAAATGGAAAAGCCATGATTGTGTAGGTTTTAAAGTCGTTTGCACCCAGACACTGCCTAGATGAGGCTGTTCCTATTGAGTGAGAAGCCAGGCAAAGAGGAAACTGGTTATAGGTGCCCAGTGTGAGGCCAAATGCAACTTGTACAGTCCTTGAGTGGCCCAGTCAAGTCAAAGTCCTGACTTGAATCCTACCGAGAACTGATGGGAAGTCTTGAACACTGCTGCCCATGGGGGATCCCAAAGTAATCTGAAAGCTTGAGCAATTCAGCCAAGAAGAATGGCTAAAAATTGATCTACACTGGTTTGCAACATTGGTAGAGATTTTCCTAAAAAGACTTGCGGCTGTACCTGCTGCCCAAGGTGTTTCCATCAATTACTGACGGGTCATTATTTGAGGGTCTGAATAATTATGCAATCCACATTTTCAGTTTTTTCCTTTTAGTTTCTGCTGACAATTACAGTAACTTATCTTATTCCTTCAAGTCTTCAGATTGAGTATTCAGAGTTTGATTAAATTCTTAACGTAAATATTTATTTTGGCAATATTTTGTCATTATTTCTTAATTTGTCAAAATTGGACACCATAAGAAGGCTGCACTGTATGTGTCTTAAGTAATTATTGTTTGTAAAAATCAAAGTTTCAAAATGAACTGACTAGTCGCAAATATAAGAACGTGAAAAATCACACAAAGTGTGGTACCAGGAAGTCGCAGAACCCCAGGACTGCACAGAGAGTGGGATCTGTCCTCTCCCACACTTTCAAACACTACACCCAGAGGAGCCGAAGTCAACACTCGGGGTCAGTCAGCCCACACATGCCTATTGTTCCCAGGGAAGAGAAGAAACAGGAAAACGGAATACAGTATCGTCCTGCGCCTCACCTTCAGAAGGCGGAGAGAGGGGGAGAATTTGAGAAGTTCCTCAATGACATCATTATACCCTTTGTAAGCCGCCTTAAATAGAGCTGTGGATCCATCCTTTAAAGCACATAGAAAACAGTTACTGTGTAATGGTTTGTAGAACATACTGTATACTGCAGGTATATGTAACCTAAAATAACATAAAACAGCATTTTGACAGTGGTTTGGAAAGTGCATCTGAGATAAATGAGTGGTAAATCCAATGTACAGTAATTAAGAACACCAGAGAAGATCTCAAAGGAAATGAACAGATAACCCTCCTTCTATAAGACTGATCCACGGCACAAAGAGTCTCGAGAAACACTCTCCCACTGCGCCAACGGAGAGGCGTACTTTCCTGTCTGCGTCCCGATCTGCTCCTCGCAACAGCAGGACCTTCACCACTTCGCTGTGTCCCATCTGCGCTGCCATCCAGAGTGGAGCCGTTCCATCCTGCAGGAGAGACAAGGTTAGGAACAGGGACCTGGGACTGTCCGGGCACTGAGAGAACAGGGACTGGGCACTGAGAGAACAGGGGCACTGGGCACTGAGAGAACAGGAGCACTGGGCACTGAGAGAACAGGAGCACTGAGCACTGAGAGAACAGGAGTACCATCTGAACACTGAGAGAACAGGGGCACTGGGCACTGAAAGAACAGGAGCACTGGGCACTGAGAGAACAGGAGCACTGGGCACTGAGAGAACAGGAGCACTGAGCACTGAGAGAACAGGAGTACCATCTGAACACTGAGAGAACAGGGGCACTGGGCACTGAAAGAACAGGAGCACTGGGCACTGAGAGAACAGGAGCACTGGGCACTGAGAGAACAGGGACTGGGCACTAAGAGAACAGGGACTGAGCATTGTCTAGGCAGTGAGAGAACAGGGACACTGCCCGGGCACTGGGAGAACAGGGGCACTGGCACTCAGAGAACAGGGACACTGACTGGGCAATGAGAGAACAGGGACACTATCTGGACACTGAGAGAACAGGGGCACTGTTCCAGACACCTGAAGAAGGCCCCACAGCCAAAAAGCCAAAATAAACCTTCACCTGTTCCTTTATAACCCAACTTGCCCCTTTATTTGTGAAAGCATAGTATAAGATAAGGCCTTAAAGTAAGCAAGTATAATTTTAAAAATATTCTGCAGTCTGTGACAGTCCTGCATACTCTGCAGCAGAGCAAATGGTACTGTTACCTTAAAAGGAGTGTAGGAAGGCATGTAGTACACTATTATTTCTATCAGAAGCAGTGTTTTAATTCTGGAGATGTTCTTACCTCTCGCGGCTGGTTGACCTTGGCTCCAGAAGAAAGGAGCTGACGGATGACAGTGACGTGCCCTTCTTGGGCAGCAAGGAAGAGGGGAGTAGCTCCATCCTGGTAAACCAATACCGAAATACACCGTGATGTGATAAAACAACGTCAACGTCTTTTATATAATGGTAAATATTCTTTCATTAGAGAAGTTGGCCATATCATCAGCTATATCACCCTGCAACTCACAGCTGGCAGCCCACTGAAGCTCATCAGTGTGAGCCTGGCCAGTACCTGGATGGGAGACCTCCTGGGAAAGCTGAGGCTGCTGCTGGAAGAGGTTTAGTGGGGCCAATAGGGGGCGCTCACCCTGTGGTCTGTGTGGGTCCTAATGCCCCAGTATAGTGATGGGGACACTGTACTGTAAAAAGGCCCCTTATATCGCATGAGATGTAAAACTGAGGTCCTGACTCTCTGTGACCATTAAAAACTCCAAAGCATTTCTCGAAAAGTGTAGGGGTGTCCTGGCCAAATTTCTCTTTGGCCTCCTAATAATCCCCATCTCTGAACTGGCTTCATCACTCTGCTCTCCTCCCCACTGAGAGCTGTGTGGGGAGTGTACTGGCGCATCATCCAGGTGGGGCTGCACACTGGTGGTGGTGGAGGGGATCCCCATGACCTGTAAAGCGCTTTGAGTGGAGTGTCCAGAAAAGTGCTATATAAGTGTAAGCAATTATTATTATTAAGTTCAGAGCAGGATACTGGTATTTTTGGTAGACTCACCGTTTTGTGCCCCCTCTAGTGGTGACAATTAAAATTGGCTAAAGACAGCACCCTTGCAGTTAGGAAGGCTAATACAACACTTTCCTTTCTCTGTCCTCCTCTGCCTAGTCAAAGGAGTGACTTGATTAACACGTAAACAAACTGCATCTTTCTGGAAACATTTCCAATGCCTGTTTTTAATGAACTGAAGCACCACTAGCTGTTAGGCCTGGGAGAGGATGTGTCCTCGTATGGCACAGAGGAAATCCTACTTCCAAAATTACAGACAGTAGTGGGACTCACGTTTAGCTGGTCATGGACATTAGCGCCGTGTTTTAGCAGGGATTCTACCACGCTTGTGTGACCATATTGACAGGCTGCTGATAAGGCAGTGCCTCCGTCCTGTAAGCATATCACCGAATTAGTCAAGCCTTTTATATAAGAGCTTTTTATTTTCAGCATATATGTACATGCACATATGATACATGTGACATAAAGAGGTAAAATATTCAGCACAAAAATTAATAACTGTACCTGTCACGAACAGTTACGGTTTGTATGAGGGGAAGATAATTCCAGATATAACACATTTGAAACATAATTTCACCTACATGGTCTGTGCTGGAGAAAATGAAATCTGAGACATCAACACTCAAAATAATTGTAGAAAAGATACAAGGCATTCCAGATACTCTGAAACCCATTCCAGATACTCTGAAACTTGTTCCAGATACTCTGAAATCCATTCCTCCTATCCTGCAAAGATGCAGCAGGTCTTTCAAGAGATGTGTGTTCAGTTGTTAGGTGAAGCTGTTGGCTGTTGGCTAACGGGCGTGTTTGGCCTGTGCTTCCAATTCAGTAAGATCATGTTCTTTCCCCTTTGTGACTGACAGAAGTAGAAGCTGAGAAGAGTTGAAGGATGAACTGGTAAATTAAAGATCACCACATAAATAAACAGCTTGGGTAATTGGAATACTACAAGTAAAGATGATATGTTATCTAATACATTGTTCCAAAACTTAATGACAAGAAGGCATTAGGGTAGCTATGAACTGCACTGTGAGCACTGTATCGTAACAATTCATTTTGAATAAGATGTATTTTAGTATTACAAGAAAATAAAAATGTACTATATTGAAATATTCAAATCAAATATTAGTCATGCTGTCACACTAGAACACAAGCATTACTGATTAATTTTGTTAATGGAAAACAGACTCATTAAAACAGTTGTTTCAGGTCCATCAACTTGTTATTAAGAATGACTAAATGTCCACTACAGAAGCTGTTCGTATCTTTTAGGAGTAATATATCTTTTCCTTTTAGCAAGTCATGACACAGTTATACGGTGTATGTGATGGTGTAATTCTAGGCAGTTGGCGTTCAAACCTTGGTCTGAAATTCGGTGGAGGCTCCAAACTCAAAGAGAAGCTTCACAATGTCATTGTGCCCCTGCTGTGCAGCGAAGAACAGCGCAGTGGACCCTGTCTGCAGAACAGAATGGACATGAAGGACACATTCAGCACCCAGGTTGTGTTTATTCTCACAGAAGAACTCAGAAAACACCAGATCTTGAATTTGGTTTGTTTTTCTTCTTGGCATTTCTGTAATGAAAGTGGGAATCAAAATGGCATTTGTACTGTACATTCATTTGAAAGGTTAAAAATGAGAGGAGGCCATTTGGAAGAAGCCTGGGTACTGGCTTTACCCTCATGGCTGGGTAGCTTGTTACACACTCCCACCACCCTTTGTGTAATCTCTCGGCAAGAATCTCTGCATTTGCAAATTGGAAGAAAGTGTCTTTACTACTTTCCAAAAAAAAACCATTTCTTAAACATGATTCCTACCAGTTGTAGTTTATTAAATTATATTTACCATCTTTGAGCCAAAGATTTTAAGTACGGTGTGTATATATACTGAACATCTTAAGGCACTTTTCACTTTATTTATGCATATATTATGGGTACGTATTCTGAATATTGATTAAATGTTTGTGCTCTCATTTTGATAAACTGATCTTTCATGATTGACCATGGGTGATTTTCATAAGCACGAAATTGTCTCATTAGTCACGGAGATGACTGGGCTCAGGTGTTGTGCTGATATACAATCTGTTGAATACCCAGCCTGGTGAAAACCAAGAGCACAAAATGCAGAAAGGAATAAGTATGAACCACTTATCGGGAGAACAACGTATTTGTGCCTTTGATGTGTTGAAGCCACACCCTAGGCGGTCTTGCAAGCAATGGAGCCCAATCGTCTTCAGTTACAAATCGAGGTCTTGTGACGATCACCACAGTGGATGTCAGTGAGTGATGATCTGGGCAGGAGTGTCCTGCTGCTGCAGAGCTCCACATGTAGAGATTGCTGGCAGCCCGACTACACAGTGCTACATGGGTCAAGCCCTGGAACCTCATCTGCTGTGCTTCCTGTGGGCTCATCCTGACATGACACCATTCCAGCGGGATCGCCAACCCTCGCTGGTGGCGTGAGAGCTCTCCCGGGCGGTGAGCATGGAACAGTTGTGCCATGGATACGTTATTCACCAGCCGGGATGAGTTGGGAGGAGGTTTGGAATTCATGGCTCAGAGCCCAGTGAACAATCACCTGCAGGCTCTACAAGAGGAATCTATGCTGCTTCCAACAGAGGAAGGGGACATACACTAGCACCTGTCATGATACAAACTTCCTGAACTTGTTGCAGTTCCATGTTTCTTTCTGCCCAGTATACTGTATATTTTCAACTCATATTCATTGTAACAAACTCAGTTATACCCATTAAAGGAGAGGGAATTCAATGGACAGTTGCCATAGAACATACCGTTTTATCTATTTGAAACAGTTCTTTCTCAGTTATAGACAACCCTAAACTTTTCGTAATTAACTGTGTCCTGACCATGTACAGTACATTAGACTATCTCCAGCTAGTGGTACTGCTAGTAGGATTTATTTTTCCTGCTGTTACCGATACCATTCCATTAGCTGTGAAAACAACATGCAGCATGAAAACCATTGATCCAAAAAGCCAACACTTTTGCGTTACTATTATGAATTATAATAAGAGCTCTGTTTACATAAATTAAAGAGTATCCAGAGAGCCACATCGTACCTATTTACCACTGAACCTATGAAGAATTCAAATAAACAAAGATTCCTTTAAAAACATTTTGCTGCTAATAGTAAAGTGATGGATACAGATAATACTCACAAAGCCATTAGCCAGTATTTGGTCTCTTAGGCAATACCTTTTCAAAAGTAACTCTTCTACAGAGAGGCCTCTCATCTATAATGCATAATGTTTAATGTTTCTGCCCACTGTCTGTGAGCTATTAAAATTATTGCTGTCTGCATTCAAGGTTTCAAATGCATTTCTATCTTTCAGATTTAAAAAGAACTTACACAGCACGTATTTTAATGTAGCCAGATAATAAAAGCAATATAATTAGCCAGACAAAACTGGATACTCACCCTCTGTAATAAGTGTTGAGCACAAACTATAATTTGAAGTAACTGCTAAAGACCAGGGGGTGGGAACCACCTTAATCACTGGACCACCTAACAGCCTTTGAAGAGTGATCTGGGTTTCAAGAAAGTGAGACTCATCAAACACAGACAATGTTGACTCAGGCTCTGAACTGCCTGAGTCTAACCCGAATTGTCTTGGTTGCTGCTAGCATGCAAACAAGTTGAGATTATGAGTGGTGTTCTACCTGTAATTATGGTTAGCATAATGAATACACATCCTTTGCAGGCGGGCAGTGTTTACAGAAGCAAGGAGCACACAGAAGGAAAATCTACCGAAGTCCTGGCAGGACACAGTCACTGGAGGTTTAGCTAATCTCACTGCTGTGTAATCCACAGCTCCTAATCTTTCAGCAACACTGAACTTCAGCGATACCAGAGAAGATGCTACCGATTATCTGTGGTTGTGACTTGATGTTAGATAAACAGCAACAAAATCTCCCTCAACAACACCAGCTTCTGTTCCACATGCGCAAGCACATCGTCTTTGGGATATTCCCTTCAGAGGTGCCGAAAGTAACATGATTTGAATCACTGCTGTAACTGCTGTGGCCCTTATAACTGAAGTTATCAGTTAACCTCACAACTACCTTTGGGGATGCACTTTGGATTAAAAGTAATGATAAGGGTTTTTGTTCTAGAAATAAGAGCACATTTTAAGAGCAGTAGCTTTACCTTTCTAATGCAATGGATGACCCTGTTTTTGTGAGCAAAGTTCAGTGAATTCAAATATGATGCTTCTTAGCATTAGTTTTAGGTCGGGCTTAATTTTAAACCTAACGTGCATAAAAATAAAATAACCTTTTTGCTCTTTAGCGCTGCTATCCTTGTCAAAATGATCATGGTCTCTGCCATCGGAAAACAAATTCGATCAAGTTCCAGCTCTAGCACAGTTCTCAATCTACAAGTACTGCGGTTCGGCCACCTCTGCTCTAGAGTTTAAGAATAAAAGGTGGCGCGGAAGTCGAGACAGCCTATAGCCCCTCGCCGGGCTCACATGTTACCTCTCTCTGCAGGTTGATGTCTGCGCCCTGCATGATCAGCTCCCTGACGCTCTCGTAGTGACCGCTGTAGGACGCCACCATCAGGGCTGTTGTTCCTAGCTGAACACAGAACGCAGAACACACTCCAATCAGCGGTGCGCAGCAGCTCCGGCTCTCTGAGGAAAACTCTCAGTGATGCGAAAGAAGTGCGAACACCTCCACAACACAGCCTCGCTGGTTTCTCCACGTGCTGCATACAACGCTAATTTACTGCAGTCCGCCCTTCACACTCTCTCCCACACTGCAGCTTCTTCCTGCCATTCTCCACGTGCTCTATTTCAGATGCAAATGCCTGTGTTCTTACAGCTTCTTTCAACTGTCCTGCATACACATCCCCTGGTTGCCCAAAATGTGCTGTATAGAAGCACTGGAGAGGATTTCAAATCCAGTTCAAATGACATTTAATTTTATCCAATCTCATCAAGCCAAAGGAACTCTGTTTAAACCAAGAATCCATGCAGTAATAAAGATACAGATACGTATATTACCCATATCGTGGGCAAATCTACTGAAGAGTGATGTGAGGGCTAGAAGGAGCAAAGGAAGAGCACTATTATTATTATTATAGGGGACACATTTCATCTACCCCTGCAGTGCAGCTCCCACCTGAAAGTGACAGGCTGTAGCCAAGAGGAAAAGGCGGCCCCTCTACACTAATGATTTAACAATCATTGTAACAGAACACATAAAAAATAACAACCAGTTCATTTTATTCTAGATATGTATTGGCGGTGTGGCATAACATGGGAGCTTGTTCAGTGTGGAGGCAGAGCCCTAGATTAAGGGTGATGCGTTGCCTTAGTAACCCCAGCTGTCCTGGCTGATTAAGGACGAGCCGCAGCTGAGGGGCCCTTTTAGACACACGGAGCTCCTCCTGGATGGACGAGCAGACCCCCGCAAGGGGACAACCTTCCACCGACAACCCCGGAAGGGGATTGTGACGAGAGTGTTGAGGCCATGTTTTTTCTTCTTTTTTTTTTCCACCTCGCCCTCCTTTTCTTCCAGTGTGGACCCCACTGAATAGGGATGATTCAGTCTGGATGCCGCTGTGCAAAGTAGTGTTTCTTATTCTGTTTCTTTATTTCTTTTTTTTGGGGGGTTTCTGCTAGCCTCACGTCAGTGCCTCCACCCCCTCAGACGGGGCGTTGACAGTAACCGGCGCTCGCCGCGGCTCCTCCTGCTCCCGCACTGTTACAGCAGCACATGCACAGCGGAAGCCTGCGTCTGATTAATGGTGCAGTCAGCTGGTGTGCTTCTTCAGAAGGGTGAAATGCTGCGCTTGCTAGCTTGGTCGACGGGCAGCCTGCTGGCCACAGGGCGATGCGACTCGAACCCCATTCAGAGCTGCAGGGTGGAGATGGGATGGAGGAGGGATGCAGGAGATGAATGTGAAGGGAGGGGTTTGAGTCTGATGTACAGGGCTAATTTCTGTAATGATGGTGATTAGGAACAGCTGTGTGTTCCAGCAGGCAGTGT